ACAAAAGTCGCGTCACCTGCACTTGTCGTGTATCTAGAGGCAGCAGCATGCAGTAAAACACAGCTAAAGCATCATTTTGACTGAGGAGCGCGCGAGCGAGACTATTTATTTCAAATAAACTGCGACTGGTCGCCGAGCTTGTAGTTTTGCTTTGTAGAGAAGAAGAAGTTGTAGCTGATTTTTTGCTTGACCACTGCTGTGCCTGTACTGTCGTTCGGCTTTACATGTAGTCGCCGACCAAGCAGCAATGATGCGTGTCTCTGTAATTTCTATTGCAGCGATCACTGATTTCTTAGTTCTGAGATCATCCAACTCTGGGCTGAGCTCGTTTCTTTGTCCAGCGGCAAGCAAAAGCCAGAACTCCTATCTCTCAGGTGCTGGTGAACACTCAGCAGGAAAACACTGCACGATGGCTTGAGAGCGAAGGAGAAACGTCTTGAAGTAAAACAAAAATTTGAAGTCGCTATCTACACCAGCGTGCCCCAGTCAAAGTGATGCCGTGATCGTTGGAAACACGACAAGCGCAGGTGACGCGACTTTTGTTTGTCACCACTTGGCCTTGTAACTACGTGTAACTACGAGTTTTCAGGCAGCGTGACGTAGGCACTTCGACAGCCTATTGGGTTGTTTTTTGTGCATTTCATGGTATATACACGCAATAAATATACACTAATGTAAAATTTGCACAGCCAATATGTACAACCAGACTGTATCTTCAAAGGTGGCATCCTCACACAGTCAATCGTGCAGTACTGTCGATATACAGCAATGGTTCCAACTCAAGACAGATCGGGCAACAAAACATAGATGGATAACGAACACTTGAAGACAATGACACGATACAATCTTTCCTCTAGTAATCTCAACTCCACGATCCGAACACACCCAGAGAAATCAATCGTCGATGTCCAAGAAGGGATAGCTTACGTGGCTGACGAGGACACCACGACGATGAGTGGTGGGTGAGCATCTATCACGAACGTTGAGGTGACCATGCCAGGCGGAAATCAACAACTGAAAAATGTGTGACACAGACATTCGTCCCACCAGGACATCCTCAGGCATAAGCACGACTTCCCCCTTGCATCCTTCTGCCTCATGCTGCCCAGAGTCGTGCTCTGGTTCTTCAAGACTCACCAATCTCAGACTCCACAAAAGGCTCGACTTATTGTGTCGTGTTATTTCTCACGAAAGACTGAACGCGACGTGCAACTCTCTCCTTGGAACACCAGCTTCGAACAATATGCTGCAGTGGCATTATTGGCAGCCCAGTGCTAGAAATAAGTAAATCGAACGGCTATACTATGCAAAGAAAGGAAAGGCAGCCATTACAAACGCCATGGCAAAAGCAAGGAGAATCAAAACACAAAGCCCAATAATTTGAAGTTTGATGAGAGCACGCGGAAAAAGTACAAATATTACGTTTGCATGCTTCAAATCGCGCTTACAAAAGTACTAGCACACTTCGCTCGCGTGCCAGTGTAACAGGTAGCCGAGTGGTAGGCGCGGTGCAATAAACAAGAGTTAGTTTTATTCTACTTCTCTCAGGTACACATATGGGATATCATTATTAGTAAAAGAAGAAGCGGCAAAATAAATAACTTTCTCTCTGGTGCACACCTAGAGGTTGACTACTTCTTCTTCGAGTTAGCTTTGTCGTTGCTATCTTATCTCATTAAAACAGAAATGCGCAGCAGCTTTTATGCAGCAGACCCCGTACGCTCATATACGGAGATACACTAAATATACATAAGGTCAAGTTCCGTATTACTTCCGTATTAGCCAGGCAGGGATACTACACCCTCCCTTCCTACAGATAATCACGCCCTCGTGATTTTCAAAAATTAGCAAAGAGTGATGAACACAGCGTCAACCGGAAGATGGCAAATTATATCGGAAATGATAAAGTTTAGAGTAGACAGAAGAAATGAACTGATGACAAATCATAACATAGAAGTAAAAGCACACCAGGTTCACACGATCTCTCGGAGTCAAAAGGGAAAGAACGGGCCTCCAAACAGGACGTGAAAGACAGCCAAATTTCTGCACATCGCGTGCTCAAACTGCCAGGAAATTCAAAATTTCAAAAAAAATGCAATGCATCGTGGGAACTTACTCCGGTACACACCTGGAGTGTAAAAGGGGATCTCACACACTTCTCTCACAAGGTTAGTTAGGAAAACCGTGGCTCACCATGATCAGACGCCTACCAAACTAAACTGGATTCACACACTCGCATAAAGGAAGACTGAAGAGAATAGGAAGACTGAAGGAAGACAGGAAAGAAAATGCCATACCTGGAATCCGGAGCTTGTCTAACACTGGGAGGCAGTTGGAGCCACGTGGAGTAGGAGGAAAAGAAAGGGGAATTTACGAATAGGGCAGACCTAGCTAGGGGATGACGAACGCAGCTTCAGGTGGTGCCACCTGACTTAAACCAATTAAGGGACTGTAAATGAACAGGGTGCTGGTCAAGAAAATTTAAATGTGCCAGGGTGCACTTGGAAGCATCAAGATAGTGTTGCAGAGTGGTAGTGGATGCAGCAGCATGCAAGTCTATATTTGAGATATAAAGATCAGTACGAAATATGATGCGCAGTATACGGCGATGGAGAACTTCTAATTTACTTACGTGGGTATTGCTAATAGTGGACCAGGCAGGGAAGCCATACGTGAAGAGGGGAAGAATGTATGATTTATAAAAATTAATCCGGCAATTTTGGGGCAAATGGGACATTATGCCGACAGATCGGCATACTTTGGACGACACATGATCAGCATGGAGAGACAAGGAGAGGGCAGAATCTATGACAATGCCAAGGTGTTTATGGTGGGGCGCTACAGAGATAGGGTGACCGGGATCATCCGGAAAGTGGAAGATGGGCACTAGATCTGTGGGAGGGAGAAAAAGGAGGAGCTCGGTTTTGGTCACATTTGGCTTCAGGTTCCAAGTGCTCACCCAGTGACCAATATCGTTGATACAGGTCTGAACTTTGGGGTACAGGGTGGCGTGAGATGGGGCGGAAGCAAGGACAGTGGTATCATCAGCAAACAAAGAAATATTGGGAATTGCACAGGGGAGGTCATTAACGTATGTGAGGAAGAGCAGGGGACCTAAAATGGAGCCCTGGGGCACTCCAGATGTCACAGACTCGTGGTCAGATAAGGTTCCATTCACTGTGAAGCACTGATTTTGGTCCAAGAGGTAGCTAGTTGTCCAGGCGAGTAGGGAGCCGGAGACACCATGGGCACAAAGTTTGGCGATCAGGCCCTTGTGTCACACGGTGTCGAAGGCATTGGAGAGGTCGAAGAAACAGATGCAGGAGACCTGCCGCTGGTCTTTTAGGGAGCAGAGGTCTTGGATTATGCGGGACGATCGCAGGGATGTGATGTCCTTACGACGGAAGCCAGATCGTGCGGAGTGAAGAAGAGGGGAGATATGGCCATACAAGCGGTCGTACACTATTCTCTTTAGCAGTTTGGAGACACAGGACAGGAGGGAGATTGGTGGGTAATTAGACGGGTTGTTCTTGTCGCCTTTATTTTTGTGCACTGGAATGACAGTAGCTGACTTCCATCGTGACGGGAACGTGCCGGAGGAGAGGGAAAGGTTAGAAAGTATGGAGAGTGGGCGGGCAATTGAGGAGCTCAGTTTCCTGAGGATCTCATTGGTGATCATATCAGCTCCGGGGGATTTTTTCAGATGCAGTCTTGCAATATACTCGTGAACAGTCGATGAGGTGATGATCAGGGAGTGCAATGTAGTTGCTGGTGGTGGTATAGGGAGGAAATAGTGGGAATAGGAGCATCGGGGTCAACCTGTAAGCCACCACTGACGACGTGGCGGTTCAATAAGTTAACAATGGATGCCGGAGAGGTGCTTGTTTGACCATTGGGGCCCACCATCTTCGAAGGTATGACCCGGGCGCTGGTAGGATTTCGCAGTTGACGAATGAGCACAGGGAGGGATGGGAGGCGAGGGTTTGTGGGAGATACCGTGGCACGGAGGTTGCGGATGTAGCAGCGATGGCAAGATCTGGAAAGGCATTTTACATAGTTATGCGAGTGTTTGTATTTGTTGAAATTTGTAGGGGATGGGTATTTCCGGTAGATGCTGTAGAGATCACTCTTGAATTTAATAGCTGCTTTCAGAGTTTCAAATGTTCTAAAGTTTTAGGAAGTGCAGAACGAAGATTATGGCCTTTAAATTACTAATTGAAGCCACAAGGTATTCGCCCATTGCGGATAATTCTCTAAAACAATCACAGATTCCGTTCGAAAAGCATTGACATTTCCAGAACCTTCAAACCTTATGGCACGCACTTCCTTTATTTCTGCTCCATTTCTTCATCAATATAACCAAAAAGGGGGGGGGGGGATTGTAAACATAACAAAACATTAAGTAAACGAACCATAAAGAAGACCGAGGATTTTTGTAACTTTTCTATTGCCATGATCCGCCGAAGACTATGAATTTCGTGGGAAGTCCCAGTTTAGGTATACTGTCATATCCAGTTCTCACGCAATTTGTAACAATTCAAGCCAGTATATTTGTTCACGCTTCGGCGGCCAGTTATTTGTCTGCATTGTCAAACAATGCATCGTTAGAAATTGTGTTTTCTTAGTTTTCAACAAACCTCTTGCTTCACAATAGGAAAAAAATGACGGAGACTATATAAACAGTGGTGTATGTGAACTGTGTGTCTGCAGTGTCAAACAATGCACCGTTAGAAATTGCGTTTTCTTAGCTTTGCAACAAACCTCTTTCTTGACAATAGAGGAAAAATTATGGAGACTATATTAACATTGGTGTATGTAAACTGTGCAACCTAACCCAATTGTATATGAATCATGTTGTGGTCAGGAGCCTAGGTTATTTCTGAAAACAAGGTCATGATTCGGTCTTTTAGATTAGAACTACAATATCCTAGACTCTGTGTTTTGTGCACTACCCGCAACTTAGCAAGAACAACATTGTCTTTGTGCTTTGTCGTTTGTAGATATTTGCACATTAATCAGATCCAGACTTTAAGTGACGGTGTGTTCTCTGGTCTACCAAACCTCCGAGAACTGTAAGTATTATCAACTGCACCACTGAACGCAGAGAACAGTAATTATAACTGTGTGTATATAGAGTACTGCTCATGATCACTATTCTATATTGACCTCCACTAATTCTCGTGATCCTTGACTGGTCCGTTATTACCCATATCGCCGTAATATCGACCGCTTGTATCGACCGCTTGAATCGACCGCTTGTATCGACCACTTAGGCATTGTAATCTTTCGACTTTGGAGGGACTTAGAAATTTTCTCTCCACTTCAAAAAGAACATTTGAAAGAAAGAAGACAAAGGAAGAGAACAAGCAGGATTCGAACCCACAACAGTATGATCTCAGGCAATCCCTTATACCACCCATATACCACCCAGCCACTGTGCTGCAGATGCTGAACCTTGTTGTTCTTACAGTCTTGTACCCAAAATAGGCAACATCCTATGTACACTATACTAGTAGTACAAATGCTATACTAAAAAAGTTAAAATAGCTCCTAAAGGTTCAAATGTTGGGGTTATGGCAAAGGAATCGCGATAAATAAAAGACCTCGGCGGACCTCGGTCTTTTACTCGGCCTATATTTCCCATATAGACCTCGTCTTGGTCAATATCTTATACATACGTGATGAACAAACCTCGATTATATAAGGAGTATTATTATCTGCTGCACTGATTGAAGGAAACAGTTGTAGACGCTGTGTGTGAAATGCTTTGTTATGAAGCCTCTGATTCTCGTAAGTGTCAGGAACGAATGACCACACAGCACGAGGACAACTGCTTTTTCTTAACGGTACATTTCGATTGATCGAACATAATAACTCAGTCTAAGACGACCAGATAATTATGTAAAGCATGCAAATAACAGCGTATACAGTAAATCGCACACAGCGCATATAGCGTATACCATGCATGATGCATCAGCGATATGGCGGAGTCGAAATACTTGGAGAAGTGTTGGAGCTAGGTGTCAGGTCTCCGAATGTCCCAGTACTCCTTGTCAGTTTTGTGCAATTTTGTCGCAATCGCTGACCTTATAAGATCTGGTCACGTTGATGGACAGTTAGTCAAAATTCGTAACATTTTTTCCTTCTCCTTTTTCACCATTATTTAATAGGCTCACCATCCGAGTTCAATTTTTCCTTATTCTTTTCTTTTCTTGCCATGGTTGGCTATCACCCCTCTCTCGCACTTTGCCTGCCAATTCGTCATGGACCACGAGTTGAGTGAAATAATTTATTAAAACGTTCCTCTTATATTTGAACAAACGGCGAGGAGACAACAATTTGATAACCGCAATCAGTAATACAAGCTGGATCGACATTTGTGTACACTGTATTCATGTATTGTAAAACTGTGGAGACAATGTGCAATAAAACGATGAAAAATGTGAAGAAATTGTGTAGAGAAAGAAAGGGATTCAAACAAGTTTTCGTACAACACTCATCAGGAATCGTCGTTGTACTAAAGGACACTGAAACAAAAATTGAACTATTATAGAAAATCTAAGTTAGAGAAATAACACTAAGAGCAACAACAGTGAAATTTACAAGTGTGAATTTTAACAATCAAAGCGAGAAATGAACAAAGGAGAAAGGAAGGAAAGACAACGTGATAACACATAACAGCAGTACATTAAACCTAGAACATTAACGGCCAAGCTTGGCCGCACTAAACACGACACGTTACTTGAACAATTTCAACCCAATTATACTATCTTTCTGTACACACAAATTAGGCTTGTACAGACGCTGATAGATAGCTTCCAACACTTTTAACTGTAGTCCATAACCATGACGACCACGGCACAATACAGTGAACGAAGAGTCGGAATACGCACCGCAACAATCAGGACTAGCCAGCAGATGATTGTACACTGAAGACTTGCTACCACGAAACCTACGCACAACACTAACACTCTCACCGGCACTCTCACCACCACTCCCATCACCGCTCTCCGACTCACTGCTCCCTCCGCTGTCCGTTCCATCCTCCGCTTCCTCTGTACTCTCTCTGTCTCGTCCATCCCGCCTGACCGGGTCCATTGAACTCAACTCGGCCGTCCCCCTGCTATCACGTCCCTCCTTTCGCCCTCGTCCGCTGAGTGCGTAGCTTCTGTTGTAGTTGGCTGTTGATCGTCTTGGTCTTTCAATTATGGGCTTGGATGGTGGATTAGTTGTAGTTGCTGTAGATTGCGTTGTTGGTGTTGGTGTGGGAGTTACTGATATGCAAGGTGGGTCTTTTTGAGTCGGCATTTGTAGTGTTAATGCAGCTGTCAGTGTTGCTCGCGGTCTGCCACTGGCAAGCTCCACCGCCGCAAGAACCGATGGCGGAGGATCAGGAGGAGGCAGTGGGACCGGGACCGCAAGCGGCACCGCCCCAGCCAAAGCCGCCGGGGGCACTGACGAGGGAACCACCGACGGCCGGAGCAAAGGCGGCGACACAAGCCGACCCAATGAGCCACCACGCCCATTCTCCTCCACCACCGCCACCAACGACGGCGGAGCAAGCACAGTCTGAGAGCCAGGATCCGCGGGTTGTGTAGGCAACGGCTGTGTGGTTAATGGTTGTTTTCTAGGTCGCCCTCGCTTCGGTCTTTGTTGTTGTGCGCAAGGTGGAAGTATGTGACGTGGTGTGTGTTGTTTGATGCGTGCGTTCAGGTGCTGAACAGTCCTACCAACATACCGACTAGCGCATTGTCGGCATTCAAAGTTGTAAATAAGATGACTAAGGTGAAGGGCTGGTAGGACATCCTTCCGCACCGTAAACGCACGCATCGTCGTAAAAACTGGCACAAAGTGTACTGCATAGTATGTTCGACGAACAACGGACTTGACTGCACTACAAACTTTAGTCGACTCCTGTCCTTTCCAAGGCAAACATAAATAGACGGGACAACGAGCAGGACCAAACAAAGGAGCCTTAGTAGTTTGTTCGACTTTGAACAACTTCTGCAGCAAAAACTCAGGGTACCCGTTCTTAACGAAAACTGACCGGAGAAAGTCAAGCTCTTCCAGCAGCTTACAGGACGAACAAATACGCTTCGCACGGTCTACAAGGTTACGCACTAAGTTTACTTTATATTGAGACGAACAATAAGAGTCATATACAATGTACTGACCAGTAAACGTCGGCTTACGATAAACGATTGTCAGAACGTCACTACTCGTTTTTTCCACCAGCACATCCAGAAATGACAACTTGTTGGACTGTTCATGCTCACATGTGAAACGAAGGGCAGGGTGAATACCATTTAACACGTCCAGAAACTCGTTACTACGCTCCTCATTATTAAAATATGTGAATGAGTCGTCCACGAAACGTACATAAAGGTCAGGCCACAATGAATCATCAATCTTCGACTCACAGTAACCGACAAACACGTTTGCCAATACTGGACCAAGGGGCGAACCCATCGCGACACCATCGACTTGTTTGTACATGACATTGTTGAACGAAAACTCAACTCCAGTTGTGACCAGCAACAACAATCGTCTAAACGCACTTTCAGATATCCAAGGAGTGTCAATGTCATCATTACGGTACAAAACATCCATGCAGATGTCAACAGTTTCTTCAATCGGCACATTAGTAAATAAACTGACGACGTCAAACGAACAAATGTGTGCGTTGGGTGGTACAGGCTTGTTGCGGAGCTTTTCGACGAAATCAAAACTGTCTTTTACAGTGCGCTTGCAATAGTGGTCCTGCACTGGTTGTAAGTAAATACACAGCCACTTGGAAATAGAATACTGAGGCGAGGCCGTCATAGAAAGGATGGGACGTACTGGACATGTGGGTTTGTGTATTTTTGGTAAGCCATATAGCCTAGGCCGGAGCGTGCCTGTCGGTTTTATGCGATCGAAATCATTGGAGAATATTTCTCCGTCGGCTTTCAGTTTCTTTAGGTAAGCTACTAGTTCTTTTTCTACTTTCTCTGTTCGATCAAAACTTTCAACCGGGCCGATGGTCTGGAACTTTGATGTGTCGTTTAGGATGACAGACATCTTGTCTATGTAATCAGTTCTGAGCATTTTTGTTTCAGTGTCCTTTAGTACAACGACGATTCCTGATGAGTGTTGTACGAAAACTTGTTTGAATCCCTTTCTTTCTCTACACAATTTCTTCACATTTTTCATCGTTTTATTGCACATTGTCTCCACAGTTTTACAATACATGAATACAGTGTACACAAATGTCGATCCAGCTTGTATTACTGATTGCGGTTATCCTCTTATATTATTTTTTATTTATTTTATTTTAAATAATCGACGTGGAGACAACAATTTTATAATAGCAATAAAGAGAACAAATACTGCTGTCATCGCCAAACTACAACGAAGGCATTTAAGTTCACCAAAAATTAATTTTCTTGTCACATTCATCAGTGGAAAGTTGTGACTGAAGAGTAACCATGCTGAACTATGATTAAAAATACATTCAATAATATGAACTTAGAAGTTGCGACTTCGGCGATAATAGTCATGAAGTTGATTGTTCCAACTAGGAACACACGCTTCTTGCCGAACTTGACACTTGACTGACTCACGACTGCCATCCGGAGCACACGAGGAGCACGTCACACCTTCCACTTGGCAAACCTGCAAGAAAGCACCGCTCCCTGCTCAATACACGGTGTTTCGGGGAATTCACCCCTCATCAGTTGAGCTTGAGTAGGCTGAGGAAGATTGTGCCTGAAAAGCACCACTTATATACTGCTCTCCAGGCCAAACCATCAGCAGGGATACAAACTCACAGAGACGCTTTGTTTCCAGCGCAACAAACACCTCGTGAAGCTCCAGGTAGCAGCGTGAGTCAGAGTCGCTCATGGAGTTGTGATAAACAGACGTTGAGAGCCAGGATAACTATTCGCAACGCTGTCACCTCCAACAACTAGTCGCACGTCCGCGTGAGGGACAACAATATGAACTTAGAAGTTTCGACTTCGGCGGTAATAGTCAGGAAGATGATTGTTCCAACTAGGAACACACGCTTCTTGCCGAACTTGACACTTGACTG